TCCATTTCTGTAATCAAGTTAGAGGCACAACTAGGTGGCACAGTAGAGAGTGCACCAGCCCTGGAGTTTAGGAGAGCTTGAGTTAAAATTTGGGCCCCAGACACTTGATATTAGCTGTGTGACCCTAGATAAGTTACTTAACTCCTATTGCCTTGCAAAAAAAGAAAAAGAAAAAAAAGAGAGAGCATTTTTTCACGTGACTATTGGTAGCTTTGATTTCTTCTGAAAAAAGGCCTGTTTTTTATTTTTTGACCATTTATCAATTTGAGAATGGCTCTTACTTTTATAAATTTGGCTCAGTTCCTTTGAGAAATGAGGCCTTTAGCAGAGTAACTTAGTATTAAAACTTTCCCCCAGTTTCCTGCTTTCCTTCTTATTTTGCTTGCATTGGTTTTCTTGAGCTCCTGCTGATTTGTTTCAATTTACACAAACCTCACCAATCAGGATGATGATAATTCATATCTTAAACATAACTTTTTACTTAACAATAAAGAAAAATAAATAACAGTGTTATAGGTACTCATATTAAAGCAAATGCAGAAATAAAAATAATTCATAATCCATACCAAAAACCTGCAAAGAATACAAAACACAAACATGCACAAATTCTTTCAATATCTATGGGTGAGAGAACACACACACACACACACACACACACACACACACACACACACACACACACACAGAAACCTGACAGTGAAACGCATGAGAGAGGAGAACCATGTGCTCAGGGTAACTTACAACTCTAGACTTAAGGCTTTGATAACATGGCTTTATTCAGGAATATCTGTATCACACAAAACTGCTTTTTGCTTACTACTCCCTTCTAGCTGGGAAATTTATTTTTTCTCTATTCTACTCTCAAACCAATGAAGCATTCACAAACTCAAAGCATCCTAAAATACTGAGAATTTGTTATGCTCTTAATTTGGTTAGAAGTTATTCGAGTAACCACTCTCCTCCCAAAGTACTAAACTCCCACCAAAGATTTCCTTTAAAGAGGGCAAAAATTGAACTTGCAGATCATTCCACTTTGTATATGCAACTCTGCCTCGTTTCAATTCTATGGGATAAAATACTCCCATGACAGTACCCTCTGGTGTCCCCCCTCCATTTCTATCTTCCTTTTGTGTGTTGTCTTCCTCCATTAGATTGTGTACTCTTTGAAGACTGCTTTCTGTTTCTTATTTGTTTCTCCTGTATTTAGCACAGTACCAGGCACATAGTGGATGCTTAATACATTTTTATTGAACTATTGAATTGAATTGTTAAATCAGAGAACGCCAAATCTCATCTGGCTGGCTCAGCTATCAGTGAACTATGATGCTATAGCTTGTAGCAGAAAAAAGTCATGGTAAAATATCTCCAACTGACTCTTCAAGGAAAGCCATGGAAGTCTAGCCAGCTCTTCACTCACCAGGTTACTGAGACAACCAAACAGTTTGAAGCAAACAGACTTAGCAAAGTAGCTGCATGGCCGTATTTATATCTCAAACCCAAAGTGTCAGTAGAAAGCATCATGTACTTGAGAGAAGCTTCATATTTCTCAAGCTCTAGATGGGACTGACAGGTGGTAGCAGAGACTGAAGCTTTTGTTTAGTGGGGTTAAATCTCATTTTAGCCAGTTAAGGATCATCTACTTGAAGTATTCTTCCTTCTAACTGTTCAAGATGTCTTTTCCTTATACAGATCCAGCAATGCTGGACTTCATACCCCTTGTTGTTTCTTTACTCTTCAATCTTTACTTACTAGGTTCTTTACTCTTCAGTCTTAATACTTTCAATAACTCAGAGCCTGCTCCTGTTCACAGATTTGTTTTTCACAGGAGATAAAAACTCATCAAATGTCCTCTTTGAAATCAACAATCCTTATTTAAATACACTCTAATCTTCAAATGGTTGTTTCATTTTTTGGGACATATTGTGTCTTTAAAAAGGTACGTGCAGATGAGCACAATCTCTTATAGGTCCAGATATACAATAGCCTTCAGAGAAATCCACTTTAATAGTTTATGTCTCTGACAAATTATCTGTCTCTCTCTCTCTCTCTCTCTCTCTCTCTCTCTCTCTCTCTCTCTCTCTCCTTCCTTCCTTCCTTCCTTCCTTCCTTCCTTCCTTCCTTCCTTCCTTCCTTCTTTTTTGGTATCTCTACTATTTTTTCCCATTTTAAAAAAACATTTTCATTTAAAGTTTTGAGTTCCAAATTCTATCCCTTCCAGAGATGGGAAGCAATCAGCTATAGGTTATGTATGTGCAATTAAGTAAAATATTTTCCTATTAGTCATTTTGTACAAGAAGATGAATAAAAAAAATTAAAGAAAGAAAAAAAGTGAAAATGCCATTCTTTAGTCTGTTTTCAACGATTATCAATTCTTTCTCTAGAGGCAGATAGTATGCTTCATCATTAGTCTTTTAGGATTGTCTTGGATCATTGTATTGCTGAGAATAGCTGAGTCATTCACAGCTCTTCATTAAACAATATTGTTGTTACTATGTACAATGCTTTCCTGGTTCTATTCATTTCACTTTGCATCAGTTCATGTAAGTATTTCCAGGTTTTTCTGAAATCATCCTGCCTGTCTTTCTCATAGAACAATACTATTCCATTACAATCATATATACCACAGCTTGTTTAGGCATTACCCAACTGATGAGCATTCCTTGGTTTTCAATTCTTAATTGTCACAAAAAGAGCTGCTATAAATATTTTTGTACAACTAAGTCCTTTTTGATTTTTTAAGATATCTTTGGGATATAGACCTAGCAGTGGTATTACTGGATCAAAAAGTATGCACAGTTTTATAACCCTTTGGTCATAGTTCCAAATTGCTCTCCAGAATCATTGAATGAGTTCACAACTCTACCAACAGTTCATTAGTGTACCAGTTTTCCCACATCCCCTCCAACATCCAACATTTTTCTTTTTTTGTTATGTTTCTTTATACTTGAGTTTTTAAAACAATTTTTAATAAAAAATTTCCCTGTCTGCTTTAAATCAAACTATTCATATACAAAAGACATCCTTAGCCACCATTTGCAAATTATACTGCCTGCACCTTCTTCATCAGTTTAATTTCCCTCCTTCCCTCACTGGATTCTTGAACCCTGCCCCTGGAACCACCTGAAACTTGATAAATGAGTTTTACTCTTATCTTGCCTGGCTTCTATGTCACTTTCCACCAGTTGTAAGCCTTGCCACCTGTAGTATGGCCATCATCATTATCTCTTACTGCTCTTCTCTTCATTAGAATTGCGGCCCCATTCCATGAAATCTGCTGGTCTCTGATAGGTGAGGTTTCACCTTTTCTTATTTAACAATTTTCATTCCACACATTTCTTTATGTGTGATTTTTCTCCTATTGGAATGTAAACTGATAATAGACAGGACTGTCTTGCTTGTATTTGTATTCTTAGAATTTGGAACAGTGCCTAGAACATAGTAAGCAGTTAACAAATAATCTCTGTCTCTATCTTTGTCTCTCTCTGTCTCTGTCTCTCTCTTATCTTTCTGTCTCTATCCATTTATATTTATGACACAGTTAATTTTCTTATCTGAAAACTTCATAAATTTTGTAGTTTTTATTAAACAAAAGTTCTTTTCCTATTCCTTCAGGTATTCACCTATGAAAGAGGCAATATTTTGCATCCTTTTCCATTTACTTCTTTTCTTTACATAAAAGTACTTTTTCCTTCCCCTTTCATCACCATACTTCTTTATATGTAAGGCAAGAACCTGAAAGAGACAGTACCTTACATAAACATACTTTCTCCCTTCACAAAATATAAGCTGTAAAAAAGGCAGGGACAATTTCCCTTATTTCTTTGTATAGTTCCCTCCCTTCTCTCCTGCCTGCTTCACAGCCTCCTCCCGTCCACCCCCCCTCCCCAGACAACATGGCATAGGAAAGAACTGGACTTGAAGCCAGGAAGACATGGGTTCAAATCCTGCCTCTTATACATATTGTCTCTTTTAGCTTGGGCAAAGCAGTTGCATTCTCAAGGCCCAGACAACTCTCTAAAACTATAAGATCCCAGAAATGTGCTAACTTCAATTGGTGGAGGGAATTTCCTCTCCCAGGAGTTCCCCATATCAAGAAATAACAGCTCTAGTCATATTCCTGTCCTGTTTTATCTCCAGCACCTGTCTGGCACATTTATTAAGCATGCTGATTAATAAATATTTGTTTGTTGATTGTATAAAAAATAGACTTGGAAGTAGAGCAGAAGCAGAGTTGTGGAAAGAGCGCAGGGTCAAGAGACACAGCTTCAAGTTCTAGTTTTGACATTGATTAGTTGTATCACCATGGGTATCACTTCAATTCTCTGAGCCTCAGTTTTCTTCATCTGTAAAATGGAAATATTTAGCTTCATTACCTGTCTCATAAGGATGTGACAAGGGAAATGCTTTATAAACTTAATGTTATGTAAATGTGAGTTCTAATGATAAAATATCAATACCTTTCCTACAATAATCTAAGACTATAATGATGATGGCACTGATATCTAGCTATTACACAATGCTTTAAGGTTTGCAGAGAACTTTACAAATATTGTTTCATTTCATCCTTACCACAAACCTGGAAGGTAGGTGCAATTATTCTCCCCATTTTACAGATGAGATAACTGAACCAAACAGAGGCTACCTGACTTTCCCAGTGAAGCATGATCACAAACTGAAGTGTCTTACTTCAAAAAGTCCAAAGAGTGTTAGAAACCCTCCCAACATTTATGTATAAAAGGAACAGAATAAGAATAAGAATTGCAAGAAGAACTAGATTAGAAAGAGACCATAGAGATCATTTATTACCACCCATCATTTTCCACATGAGGAAACCAAGTTCCAAAGCAGTTAAATGATTGAGCCAAGCTTACAAAAGCAGTAAGCAGCAGAACTGGGTGGGATTTTCCATCTTCTGATTCCAAATTTGACGCCTGTTCCATGGCACTCTCCTGTATGCAGTCTGTTTACTTGATAGTGTCTTATCATTCTTTCCTCTCCAGATCAATGAAAACTGCTTATGAAATGCAAACAGATGGGCAGAGGCTTTTGGCTCCTCTCCTACGGCAACACATTTTACCAAGATGAGAATGTGAGATTTTACACCTGTATGTTTCCAGCAAAAGAAAACTTATCAAAAGAAATCAAACTGCCCAAATAAATAGATCCATACCACATACTTTGTCTCCCTATCTGCTCCCTCTTTCCTTTACAACAGCAACTTTTTTTCATAGATGGTCACTATATCAAAAGAAAAGTCCTCTTTTTTGATGCTGATCGTTTTTGTTGTTGTTATTGTGATTTTCTAATGAGATATCAGGCATCTTTCATGAGACAGTTCCATATGGTCTTCTATGAAATAAGACTTTCAAAGAGCTGCCCTCTACTTTCATCAAGAGAGGAGAATAATCTGGCTGAAATTTATGAGAAGAGACAAAAAAAACCCAAAACAAACAAAAAACAATCAAACTCATGGAAACCACACATGGTCACAAACAGGTTTGGGTTTTCAGCAGCAATGCCTCAAGAACACAACTGGCGTTGCTTTGGACAACATTCTATTTATTTAACTTGGGTAGAAGGATAGGTTTCCAATCAAGAGAGGACTGGCTTTCCTGTATTGATCTCTTCTTTATGTTCAACAGATGATTTTTTCTTTCCTGCTTTTCCTCCCCCCTCACCAGCTTCATCATCTTTACCTCATAACAAGTGAAAACATATTTTCCCAAATCCCTTTCCAAAGAAGCCTAGTCTTTCTAGCTAGATAAATTCCTCAGGATTTCTCTCTGTCTCTCTCTGTCTCTGTCTCTTCTCTCTCTTTTCTCTCTGTCTCTGTCTCTGTCCCTTTCTTTCCCTCCCCCCATCTTTCTTCTTAAGTGAAAACATTCCGGAAACCAATTCTGTGGCCACTGAAGAGAAAGGGATTGAATCTTATTTTATAATTTTTTCTTCCCCCACATTTCTTCCTTTCTTTCTATCTCCCTAACACCCCTTTACCATTTTTGCATATTTTATTCACTTTGCACATGTGACTGTAGGGGTTGCTATGCTAGACTCAGCAACTGATGAAGCAAATTTAAAAGGCTTCAAATTCTCAGTAATGGGTGGTTATGGTTATGAAATATATGAATCAATCATGATTATGCTGTGGAATCCCATTGGCAACAACCCCTAGGAGCTGGTCTTGGGAACAACCTCTTTGTTTTGTGTTAAATCCAAAACCTATTTGAATGGTACTTTCCAATTGGTTTTCACCGCTGCTACTTTTGTAAATTGTCCTGGGATCACAACCAGCAACACTTTTGTATGGGTGAAAGTTGCAGAGTATAATCTCTCTACAACCATCTGACATCTGATAAAATAGAATTTGCCAAAAAAGTACTTTAGGAAGAGCTTAAAAAGAAGAAAAAGAAAGTAGTTTCACAAGCTGCAAAAATTCTATAATTGTGGTCTTCAATAGGAACTCCAGGATTTTTAACTTCCTCGTTTTAATTCTTTCTTTGCTAATCTTCTGCTTGATCTTAGCCTTAATATTACCTCAAATTTAGTTTCCTTACCCCTGAATTTGCCTGTCCAAGCTACTCCATCTTATCCCTTTTGAATATATCCTCAATCAAGAACATGGTTGATTAGAATTTAGATCCTTTTCTTCTGGACATCTTGTATATCCTCTAGCCAGGGACACAGTTATTCTCAGATTATTCACTTTGAGCCCTTGGCCGTAGCCTGAGAAAGTGCTTCCTGGCTCTCCAACTCCCAGAAAGAAAAACTACCTTATCTGTAACACAGAGGTATCTATTTTTTCCTCCTTAATTGAAGTCTGGTACCACTTTATCCTTCTTTTAGAGTGTCTTCATATTCCTGCTCTTTTTCCCTGCTCTGGCTTCCTTCTCTCTGCCTTTGCCTCTGTCTGACTCTATCCTGAGTGGAAAGATTCTATCCTGAAAAAGGGTTCTACTTGGTCTATATATTCCTGGTGAACTCTATTTTATACTGCATAAGCCTAAGGCTCCATAACCAGGTTCCATAATCCTCTCTGAGAAGATGACCTGATTCTAGAGTGAGAAGACCTGAGTTCAAATCTCACTTCTGACACAATCCCTGTATGGCACTGGACAAGTAACTTAATCTCCCTGAGCCTCATTTTCCTTATCTGTAAAATGAAGGGACAGGACTAGGCAACCTTTTAATTCTCCTCTGGCTCTAGATTGAGTCTGTGTTTGTCACATGACTTCTTATCCAATATTAAACTTGTTCCTCTCTCTGACTTTATACCCCTTTGTGGTCCTCTCCTAATACCCTAATTATTGGTGTAGATGGAATAACACATTCTAGGACCAACTGCCACTTGATAATTTTCCTTGAGTTTAAAATAATTTCATTATTCTGGCATGTAGGGTATCAAGTAATTGGTTTAGACTTGAGCCATAATCCCAAAGAACATACATTTTCCAAATGCATGTGCACGTATGTGCATATTCACATGCACACAGAAAAATAAAAACAAATGAAATATCCAAATTAAAAATAAAAACACATATCACATATAAAGGGTGTATTGTCCATGTACATTATGTATATATCCAAATGAATTGTCTAAAATGTCTAAACCTAATTGTCTAAAATGGCTTGTGGGGAGGAATCTTGCCCACCCTTCTCCAAGGGAGACTTTGATTCTTCTACAGAGGTAATCATAAGATTGGAGCCACTAGGCTATTCTCAGAGAAGGGATATTAGACTATAATTATATCTATATGCCACCCTAAATATTGTTAGGGAGTGAATAAGAATTTATTAAGCACCTGCTATGTGCCAGACACTTTATAAATATCACATTTGATCTGCATAACAACCCTATAAGGTAGGTTCTATTGTTTTTCCAATTGTACAATTGAGTAAACTGAGGCAGACAGGTTAAGTAATTTGCCCAAGGTCATACAGCTAGAAAATGACTGGATTTGAACTCAAGTCATCCTGACTTCAGACCTAGTGCCTACTTAGTCTAGGGGAAATTTTAGGTTCAAGCTATTTCTCCAGCTACTATTGCTTAAAGAGAAAGGAATGCAGCAGCTTAGTACTTTCCCACCAAATACTAGTTACACAAAAAACCATCACAAATAGTGAATAGCAGATTGAATAAATTCATTTATTGAAGGAGAAAGCGAACAAATCAGAGCAGTTATACAGATAAGAGTAAACCAGAATATACAAAGGAATTAGCTCACCTATGGGCTGCAAGCTCAACTAAGACAGAAGGTCTATGATCTCACCTGAGGGGAAATTCTCTAGAATCTCTAGAGAGGAAGCTGTAACTTACATAAATGTTGAGACACCAGCTCCTCTACAGTTCTATCTCTTTCCAAAATCTGTCTTTCTCTCTCTGTCTCTGTATCTCTCTCTCTCTCTCTCTCTCTCTCTCTCTCTCTCTCTCTCTCTCTCTCTCTCTCACATTATATCTATCTATATATACACATACACACATATACATACACATACATATACATAAATATACATATATACATACATAAATATACATATACACATACATATACATACATATATCTATATCTATATCTATATCTATATCTATATCTATATCTATATCTATATCTATATCTATATCTATATCTATATCTATATCTATATCTATATCTATATCTATATCTATATCTATGTCTATATCTATATCTATATCTATATCTATATCTATATCTATATCTATATCTATATCTATATCTATATCTATATCTATATCTATATCTATATCTATATCTATCTATCTCCAGATGTTTTCCTAAAGAGAATCTGGACATCTGTCCTCTTTTAAGGCAGCAAGGAAGAATAAAGTCCTTCTTCTCCATATCATCTCTGCCCCTCAGATGCATTCTCATCATCAATGAGGGGTTTCTCACTTAAGCAGCAGCTCCCCAAATTCCTGGTTTTGAAACCTGGGTTACAAATAAAACAGTAATATTAATATATCTTTACCCCTATAATCATCAGGTAAATTTTTTTTTTTAGCTTTAGTAAATGAGACATTTTGAAGTCAGAACAAAGTTTTCCATAGAAACAATATTATAAATAGCAGATAATGTCCCGGACTCTCAGCAACCCCAGCCAACTTTTTTTTTGGGAGATAATTGAGGTTAAGTGACTTGCCCAGGACCACACAGCTAATAAGTATCTGAGGCAGGATTTGAACTCTGGTTCTCCTGACTCCAGGGCTAGAGCTCTACCCACTGCACCACCTAGCTATCCTTCCTAGGTAACTTTCTAAGACTGTAAGATGCCCAGCCATTGCTGATCTATAATGAAAGAAACATCATGGTACAGAGGAAAGACAACTCATTTTGGAGTTGAAAGGCCTGGGTTCATATCCTGCTTTACTGCCTGCATGACTTTAAGCAAGTCACTTAACCTCTCACTGCCTCAGTTTCTTCATCCATAAAAGGAAGATACTGAACTAGGAGGTTCCTGCCAGCTCTGAGTCTATGGTCCTAGAAGGAGTTTACCTTTTCTGCAACTTATAATCTTAGAGAGTTGTTCAAAATACTATGAGGTTAAGTAAGTTACCCAGATGCTAAGGATTCAAAGAAAAAAGGAACTAACCCTTGATTTTTCCCCCTTAATAGTATTTCTTTTTTTCCAATTACATGTAAAGATTGTTTTAAACATTCACTTTTATGAGGTTTTGAGTTCCAAATTTTTTTCTTCCTCCCTTCCTTCCACCTCCCCAAGACAGCATGCAATCTGATGTAGGCTACACATGTAAAATCATATTAAACATAATTAAATAAAATTAAATTAATTTCCACATTAGTCATGTTGTGAAAGAAGAATCAGAACAAAAGAGAAAAACCATTGGAAGAGAAAAAAGAGAGAAAATAGTATGCTTTGATCTGCACTGAGACTCATAGTTCTTTCTCTGGATGTGGATAGCATATTCCATCTTGAGCCTTTTGGAATTGTCTTAGATCATGGTATTGCTAAGAAGAGCTAATTCTATCAGAGTTAGTCTTTGCACAGTGTCGCTGTTACTGTGTACAATGTTCTGGTTCTGCTCACTTCACTCAGCATCGGTTCATGTAAGTTTTCCAGGGTTTTCTGAAATCTGCCTGCTCATCATTTCTTATAGAAGAATAGTATTCCATTACATTCATATACC